CAAAAATTTACCAACTGTAGAACTAATTTTAACCAAGGAATTAAGTAGACCTATACAGCTATAAAACTTTCCATAGATTTAAAAGACATGTATGGGTATAGCATGAACCAGTCTAATGTTACAAACCATTTTTGTTTGTCCATGGCACAAATTTGAAAAATGCGCTAAACGTTTGAGAAAAAAACAAAACATAGCCCTACATATCTTACAAAGTACAACACATAGGTAAAATATATTTTTGGATCAGACGGGGAATATGTGTGCACAATTTTAATCACGATCTGACAATAATTGTGGAAAATAACTGGAAGACAGTTCGCAAACATGTCGTTTTTTGCAAACTTTTCTCATACTGTAAGAAGTTGATTTTCTACCATGAAAACAGCCAATATACTTCAGCTTAGTAAGGATGGCCCTGTATTTCAGATTCTTTCTCCTCAGTACCTAATTCCTAGTGCTTTCTGACCTGACAAAGAGTCTTCTAAACCGAAAACGTCTGTTTTTTTTCGTAACATACGTAACATTTTAGCACCTCAAAACAGTAACGACAGGTAATAAGTTAAAAATTGAGTGAAAACTGTTATTATTCCAAGTACAATACTATTTAATAGGAAGTAGGCCTACCTTAAAATAGGGAGTAATTAATTATTCTAATAATATAGGGAGTGTTTATAGTTTATATTTATTATTATATCGTTCCTTACCGAGTGTTGTAAACGGCTTGCCGTCCGTCAATTTTCACGTTTTTGACATTATGACGCACTACACTTACCCGCTTCAGAAACTAATAACTAAAATACTACGTCACTCAGGTAAAATAAATGCATACAGACATATAGAGAAATGGATTCTAAATTAAACAACTTTCACCATTTAACAATAATGGACGAAAACAATTTTCGATGATTCTGGCTATAACTGCCCCCTGAAAAGTAAAATACTAAGCAATAAATATATAGCGTATTTTCCCATGGTGATTATTACAATATTTCCTGAAGTCTGAGGATTCCAAGTAGGCAGAGTGCAATGAAAAAGTGCCTTTTGACACAATTGTCCAGCGCTGCTTACAGCAAAATTGCCAGGTTTGATCCCAGATGGGTAGCTGAAATAAAATAACCATACTATACATAGATATTGTGACATAAATCAATAACAAGTTGACATTAATTAATGTAAAGGATATTTGTATTTTTCGCCGAACATTAGAAGCTTATAGGAAAACGACTCTATCTAGACAGATATGTAAAAGTGAAAATAATAGTGGGCTCCTTTCTACAATTTCCCAGTTGTGGAATAATAATGTATCATTTATATACAATCGTACATTAGAAGATCTGGTTAAGTTAGAAATATTGTTGATTACATGTATTTAATGTATAGTACTAGCATTTCTACGTGAAAAAAAAAGAAATACGTGTACAAACTACTACTATTTAAATAAATTTAAAGAAAAGCGTGGTTCTCTTCAAAATATTAGTTAAAGAATAAAATAGATAATGTAGTAACCCACGTTTTTCTTTGTAGTTATTTCAATCGGAGTGCATTATTATTTATTTAAAGAAAATCATTTATGTTCCCCGTTTTAGTGCATTACCATATAAAAGCTTGTTATTGATAGTTTTTTATGCATTTTATTTTGTTTTTCAGTTTTAAACAATTTTAATAGAATTGAGTTTCATGACTAAAACCTATTGCACACCAAATGAAAATGATAATGCAGGTAAAATATTGTGGAATAGAAGTATGGTACCCTGAATTATGGAATAAAGTTATGGCAAAAAGTTTTCAGGATTCTGAGTTTCAAGTACACACAAAAATGCTACACGCAGATATTTTAATCACTAGTACAACGTAAGATGATGTATAAATCGCATGCCTAATTTCAACTTGTTTGTTGTGATATCAGTTATTCAAGATGTGAAGGATTTTATCATGAAATGATTTAGATTCCACCGCCCCTTTGGCATTAAGACCACATTGTTCTTCAGACTCTTAGGTCCCAGTTATCAAATACGCGTCAATCTTCAAAATATGAACAAGAGGAACAATGAAGGGCTTCTCCAGGTGCCTAATGTTTATATATTAACATGCAGTTCATTGTTAACGGTTTTTTAAAACAAACTTCAATGTATTCGTTACCAATCGGATATACATAAAACTCGGCGCTGAAACAATGATGGAATTTTCGTAATTTTTATCGCGAGAGTTTTTTTTAATTTATATATTATGAACAATATATAGCATTGTTTTATACCTTTCCTTTCCATTTTATAACTTAATTCCTATATAAAGTCTTCTATATAGCTTACAAGCAAAGTAATACAAACTAAAATCACCGTCTAACAACGGTGACAGGACAAATGATCTCAGGACAAATGATCTCAGACAAAATATCTCAGACAAAATATCTCACGGACAAATGATCTCAAGACAAATGATCTCAGGACAAATGATCTCAAGGACAAATGATCTCACGGACAAAAGATACCAGGACAAAATATATCAAGACAAATGATACCACGGACAATTGATCTCAGACAAAATATCTCAGACAAAATATCTCACAACTAAATTTTAATAGTGTATTGGATGATTTTAATTGATCTGAAATTTTTTTTTATTGACTCTCTTATCGTTTTGTTTACTATGTTTAACATTGTTTATAGGCCTCTATAGTAATTGTAAGAAATGTTTGCCGTATAAATTTGTCATATTGCACTAAACATTTTAAGGTTAGTATTAGTAATATAGTATACCAAGATTAAAGAAATAATTTCGAAAGACAGCGTAGGTGTGCTTGTCAAACGTGAGACAATTCTACCACGTCAGGTGGACGAAACTAGATCAAATGGGATGAAATAACAATAAAGACACACCTTCGTATCAAGGTGGCCGCTCGCTTTGATGGCAGAGACATGCCTTAAGGGAAAGACATCCGCACTCCATGGACAATACGACTAGCTTTTCAAGTCCATTGTTATGCTTCGGTCACACCTTAGTGATCAGGTGACAAATGCTTATTTAAAAGACAGCGGTCATCGCGAAGCTAAGAATGTCGTAGTGTGCATCAAACAAAGCAGTATTAATGGTGATTGCTTTGCTATGGTCTGTTTCGTTACCTCGCAGAAAAATATTAGGACATTAGTTTCTGGTGAATGTATGTTTGCCATTTGGAAATGTGAAATTAGGACATGTCGAGCAAGAGTTCACACAATAGATGATCACATAGTATTGGAGAGGTGTGATCATAACGATGTACCTACCAGAAAAAAAACTTACACTTTATGTTTGTGTTGATGATGTAATAAAAACAATAGTTTAACGTTACGAACCTTCAGACCCATTCACATTTTTGAAAGATATTTCGCGTGATATGAACATTAATGTTGTATAGCTACCGTTACTTTATTTGTTTTATACCTTTCAGGCTAAAAGAGAAAGTTTGTTTTAATTTTTACTTTTTCAAATCAAATGCTACTATAATTTTTTAATACACCTTTGATGGTTTGTTAGGTTAACTAATTCATTTTATTCACAATTATTATACGCAAAAAAGTAAACAAAACCATATTAACAGTCAATAAAAAAAGTTCAACTAAAATCATCGAAATACTATTAAAATTTTGCTGTGAGATATTTTGTCTGAGATATTTTGTCTGAGATCATTTGTCCATGATATCATTTGTCCTGATATATTTTGTCCTGGTATCTTTTGTCCGTGAGATCATTTGTCCTTGAGATCATTTGTCTTGAGATCATTTGTCCTGAGATCATTTGTCCGTGAGATATTTTGTCTGAGATATTTTGTCTGAGATCATTTGTCCTGAGATCATTTGTCATAATAATCTATTTAAAGATCTATCTATAAAAAAATCAATGTATGTCTGCTGTGGGAGGAATAGCTGGCTGGCTGGCTGGATTTGTGTCGTCTAGAAATCCAAACGCCTGAACGGTTTGGGTTCATTTTTTCCACACTTTTGCATTATAACACTGGACGTGTTTGTGCGCACTTTCTGGCTAAATTCAGTGAAATTTCAAAATATTTTTAATGTTTCAACTATTTGTTTGGGCAATATAAGTGACCTCATTTCCATCATTTTTATATGTTTTAAATTTTTTAAAAATATTTTGCACTGCGTTCATAGCCAGTGCTATTTAGTTTCTCATTTATAGACTTCTGTAATTTCCTATTTAGTATTAATTAGCATTCTGAAAATAATGGGCAAGAGGATATAATAAAATTTGATATTTTCACAATTTAAAATGCTACTATCATTATTATATAGGTTTTCCTATTTTTTAAAGACATTCAAAGCTGCATTGTTTACTAATTACTCTTTATTATATCACTCCTTAAAACCTTAAATCTTAATCAACGAGAGCTTAAGGTTGTGGTGAGGGTTGCTTTATGTTTATGTATATTTTCATGTTTCAGGTTGTGGTAAGGGCAAAGGTTTATTATTTTTTGTTTATTTTTTGTGTTTATGTTTGTGTTTGCGCGTGTGTTTTCGTTTTCGTTTGCGCTTGCTTTTTGTTTCCGTTTGAGCTTGCGCTTGTGTTTACGTTTGCGTTTGTGGTTGCGTTTGTGTTTGCTTTTGTATTTGCGTTTGTTTTTGTGTTTCTGGTGCATTTGTGTTTGTGTTTGTATTAGTGTTTGCGTATTCGTTTGCGTTTGTGTTTGTGCTTGTGTTTGCGTTATTGTTTGGATTTTGTTGTGGTTAGGCTTAAATTTAGAGTAAGTTTTAGTGTTATGTTTGATTTTCTCAAACATCATATTTGTATATACAAATTTAATTGGGAAGTATTTATTCCCTAAACACATTGTCACGGTCCTTTACAAATTTAATAAAATAGCTTTTTAACAAAGGCTAGTGCAGAGCCTGGCCGGGATTGCTAGTTAAATACAAAAACTAAATATTCATTAAGTGTCAGTCCAGATTTAAAGGCAGCTGAATCGGAGGTTAAATGGTAACCGTTAATGAATGTTGTCAAAAGTAATTTTACTTTTTTTTCAGCTCATCTTGTATCACTTGTCCTCCTTTTTTAAGGACCTCACTAATCACCATGCCTTTACTCATGTCCAGATCAGCTTGGATGGATGTTACAAGTACGTCACTCTATTTAATTTGAAAAAGAAATATATTATTGTTAGGTAAAACTTTATTTGTTGCATTGACTTCGTTTACTCCACTGACTGAAGATATATATTCAAAAAAAAAAAAGATATATATTCAAAACACTAATGTAACTTTTAAGCTATTTTGGCTAATTGTTTATATACCCACTTCAAAATATAAAACAAAATTACAACTGAAAGTAAACATTTGTGTACGAAAGCTGTATTAAAATTTAAAGAATTAGAAATCCAATTTTTGAAACGTCAACCATTTTAGTAATTGTCAGACACCTTTTTTTACTTACCTTTTCACAAAGTATATCTCCATACTCTACTTTGATGTCAATTGACTTGAGCTTTATTGTATTACTTGCAATTGAAATAGCCGGTTGTGGTTTTTGAACTGTTTTTAGGATACTAGTCTTGGGTTTAGATATTGTTACATTTTGTGAAAATGTAAAGTTGGTCTTTTGATTTAAAATACCTATGAAAAAATGTTAATTATGCGTTTTAAAAGCTGAAAAGCAGAAAGTGAACGAAACATTAAATCTTAATTGAAGACAAATTTATTGAAGTACTTATCTTTTACTCACACTATAAATGCATTGATAAAGAAAATAATATTATGTGTAATATAAAATGTTCTAATAATTTTACATTAAAAAGAATACCTGATTTGTTCTTTCCCTTTATTGGATCAAAAAGACTATCAGCAGTCACTTCAGCTTTTGTTCTATTCCTGCAGCACATGTATATTTTTGGAAGGTGTCGATGTTTTTCAAATTGATCTACGTCATTTATAGCACGTTTTAAAGTTTTAAGAGTCTGAGTATAGTCTAACCGAAAGCTTTCTGCAATACATCAAATTGTTGCTTTTTAAAAATTAGTGTGCAGCAACCAAAACAATGTTTGGAAAATAAAATATTGTATATACTTTTTAAGTATAGTAATACACTCTATTAGTCAAAAATGTTATTATAACGTAACATGCATAAGTAAAGAGAATAAAAGTAATGTGTGGCCCAAGCATTTTTTCACTTGACTAGCTTTTAAAATCAATACTTAAAAGAAAAAGACATGTTTTTTTTTCAACTTTTGTATTTATTATTTTTCTATTGTCGAAGTTGCCTGTAATGGTGAAAATCGCATTTTTAAGTTCGTTTTTAAAACCAAATGCGTAATATATTTCAATTTATTTACCAAAAGACTCCAAAGAGATTGCTACTGCTTTTGGACATTTTTCGATTATCTTAGTGAAGCCCTCTTTAAAACACCGAAGTAGTGACTTTTCTTCATTGCTGCATATGACATTTGCAATAAGTACATCTTCCTTTTCTTCGCTAGTTGTAACACTGCATTGTCCTTTGATTAACTCTTTGACTTTGGAATTCCAGACCTTTTTACCGCCTATAAAACCTGGTTAACGAAGCATGTTACAATTTTTACTATAAACAAAAAAGTTGATTAAGGGAAAATCACGTGTATTCTCTCTCTCTCTCTCTATCTATCTCTATCTCTCTCTCTCTCTCTTTATATATATATATATATATATATATATATATATATATATATATATATATATATATATATATATATATATAGTAAGCGCTATAGAGACACGAATACAGTTGTATAATATTAAGTTTCTCAAAGCAGGGTTTTCTTTAAATTCGATTTAGTTATAGAGTAAAACTAAATGTCGCGATTTCATCTCTTAGGTATTTTTATGACTTTTTAAAATGCTTGAAACTTTCATCATACAGTAGAATTATTTTTATTTTAATACCACACATATTTAATTGAGAAAAGAAAATTAAATGTATATAATATATTGGTGGTATAATAATATTTGGAAGCAGTAAAGTTTCCTAGGACGTGGTATTATCAAAGTAGTTATTTCAAAGATTACAATTACAGAGACATTGGTCCTCTTTTCACAAAAACAATTTTATGTTAAGAAGAAACGAGGTTCGTTTACTGAGTAGTTTTAGCGCTTTTGTTTTGTTGGGGCTTATCTTTAGTCAAATAAAGATGTCAAAGTAAGTACGAAGACAATTTTAATGAGCAAATAATAGAAGCAACAAACCTCTATTCAACAAACTTATAAAGAAAATTAAATTATTTATAATAAAAATTAACCGCCAAAGTAAATATGTTATGTATGAATTTTAAGTTTTATTTATTTGTCATTTAAAGCCATATAATTTTGTTCTGTTCTGCTTTGTAAAATTGTTTCTAAAAAAAATACATTTTAAAAAAACGTACACGGGTACCATTACATTTTATATTAAAATGCGTCAGGTAGTATGTCATTCGCCGAACTTTCACTTCGAAAGAGTAAAAATCATTTCAACACGACAAAATTGGCCCGTTGAGGAAAGATACAACGGGCGCTAGGTTGATAGTGCTGTTTTTTTTTTCTTTAAACAAAAAAAAAAACGCAACCACCTTTACCTCAAATTGAATATGAAACGAAAAATGACATTAAAAACGAATTTTTATCAAGAATTGAGATTTTAATCAGATTTAAGCTTGATCTACACGTAGTTATCGCGCATTTATACAAACCATGCACGTAATCTCATTCATGACAAAAATAGCATTTAGAGTTTCTTTCAGGCAACTCTACTTGGGATCAGGGGGCTCCGCCTCCTCCCACACACACCCCGTCCCATTCAACGAAACATAATTATATACTTTTTCCAGTGTCCGACCCCTCCCAGAAGATTCCACCCCCACCCCCGAAAATTTCAAGTAACCCCACCACTCTCCGGGAAGGAAAAAGTCTGAAAGAAACACTGGTCGCATATAAACTAAAGGAAGAACCTGGGCGGGGCTTCGCTCCTACAGAAAGAGATGCATGAAAGAAACTGTGCACGCAAAACACTTTTTAGATTAGAAAAAGTTCCCCCCTCTGGGGAGGAAAAAGTCTAAAAGAAACACTGGTGTCGCGCTTAGCCAATACCCGAAGAATTGCATGAAAGAAACTCTACACGCAAAACGCTTATAAGATTCGTTCTTATGTTTACTCGAGAATCAATGACGCCATACTATTGTATGCACTTTCCCGACTTGAGACAATTTTTTACTATATACTCAATGTGACGTCACAACCACAACACAACCACAACACAACCACAACACAACCACAACACAACCACAACACAACCACAACACAACCACAACACAACCACAACACAACCACAACACAACCACAACACAACCACAACACAACCAAACACAACCACAACACAACCACAACACAACCACAACACAACCACAACACAACCACAACACAACCACAACACAACCACAACCACAACACAACCACAACACAACCACAACACAACCACAACACAACCACAACACAACCACAGCACAACCACAACACAACCACCACAGAACCACGACAGAACCACGACAGAACCACGACAGAACCACAACACAACCACAACACAACCACAACACAACCACAACACAACCACAACACAACCACAACACAACCACAACACAACCACAGCACAACCACAACACAACCACCACAGAACCACGACAGAACCACGACAGAACCACGACAGAACCACGACAGAACCACGACACAACTACAACACAACCACAACACAACCACAACACAACCACAACACAACCACAACACAACCACAACACAACTATAAAATAACTTTTTGTCGTTATATAAACAAACCCTACTCTATTACTAAGTATAAGACACTGCGATGCACTGAAAAGTACTGCATGGTGCAATGTTTTCTTTTATGGTTTCAAAATCAATAGCGATGACGGACTGACACAATATCTAGCCGCTTATATTACGGATATATATTTTATATATAAAGAGAGAGAGCGAGAGGGATAGCGATATTCATGAGTGTGTCCATAAAAAGAATAGCATGTGTTGAAGGATTTTTTGTAGGGAAAACAGTTTATTTTACCTTGAGGGATTATTTGCTTTTTCAAGTGTTCCTCATTTATGAAGTTTAGATAAAAGCCAACACGAAGATCATTAGGATTATTTAGCATAATGAAGATTTCAAATTTTCCAATGTTACCAGTTTTTACACATTCTTCTGAATGTATTATTTCTTGGGATGTATGTTCTAATACATTATGAGAAGGTGACGCTTCAAGGAGACATTGGTGTGCCTCTTCACATTTATAAAGAATTTCCTGGCCATTTTTTGAGTTTAAAAATTCAAAACTACATGAGAAATTCAGGATGTAGGCTTTAACATTAATTTCAGACCTGGTTAAAGAAATAAAAAACGTTTTAAGTTTATTCAAAGTAAAAACAAGTGCACTTTTAAATTTTAACAGATAGACTCGTATTATTAATTGTATTCAATTTTAAAGCAATATATAATTTTTGCATATATATATATATATATATATATATATATATATATATATATATATATATATATATATATATATATATATACATATGGGGTGAATTTATAATAAATATACCTACATGATTATGATTTGTTTTGAATTTTAATACTTTTGTTCTTTTTGTTTGCAGTTACCTGCTAGTAAAATACTAACATATGTATTATTAATGCCTTTTAAATTTTGTGTAAAACCCTATAACTTTATAAGGCATATTTTTTTCAATGAATTCCGATAAACGGTTTGGGATTTATAAATGTTACTCATTATTAGCGAAATTTCAAAACTTTATACGAGAAAGTAAAAAATACTCACATCAGTTTTGTTACTTCAGTACTTCCAAAATCAACGCCGTCTCTAAGTCCTTCAACGACAACACTAGTATTTCTCCAGACAGCGTGAGCACCTAGCTCTTTGATGTTTTCTTGAATTTCTTTTACACGTTTTTTTAAATACCTTTGTGCGTAGACGATTGTCTTCGCATCAAACGATAAGTTAACTTTATTACCCGCAGAAGTGGTTTCAAAATCTTTCATTACATCTTTCATTCCCTTGCAGCTTTGAAGTGTTCCAACAAGCCATAGAGTATTATTGGCTTCATGAACTTTGATAACGGTGTATTTTAAATACTGTTCTTTTTTTTTCTGATCACTGTAATACTGTTGCCACTGTTTGGACTGATACTTAAGGATCTGTAAAGTATCTAAATGAATTGTATCTGTAGTAAGCGTTTCTTTTATAAGTTTTAAAATGTACTGTTTTTCCAAACTTTCTTTTTTATACGTGACCAATAAACCTTTATCGGACGAGGAGAAGTAAGCAAATTTACCTCTATGATCAAACTCCTGATTAATTTTTTCGTTAAAACCTTGTATGGACATTACTTCGATTTCCTCTTTGCTAAATTCTTTATCATTTATTTCAAATTCAGCAAAGTTTTCCCTTAAATAAAATTGGATTGATTGCATGATGAGATCCAACATACTGTCGTCTCCAGACAAAATAACTTTGCTATTTTTTTCATCAATACTTAATTTTACATTGGGGTGCTTTATTTGCAATTGATCCATGTGCTTGGATTTAATAAATACAGCCATATCATGTGTACTTAAATCCAAATATCTAACATTTTGCTGATTTTGTTGATGTTGGGGATTATTATATGTTACTTGTGGCGCATTTTGAAAATTAGACATTTGTTGATAATAATGCGCTTGGTTATTCCAGACCGGATCTATGTCTACACGGGCAGATGCATGTGGTAAGTTATAGCTTGGGCTAGAAAGAGAATGTACCTTTGAGGCGTATGGTTTGACATAATTTTTTATGTGCAAAGAGTAGGCTTCTGCTGTTAGACACCCATAGTAAGGTTTTATTACAATGGTTTGGTTATAACATTGCATTTCCTTTATCGACATAAGTTTTTGGACACCTAAGAATAGAACAAATACAAATAATTGATACAATCATACAAACTCAAAATGTATTCGGCAAGTAAAAATATATTTTTCTAAAAATAATATAAATTGCAATAATATGTAGATGATAAATAAAACCTTAACGCTTATTTTTGGGTATTGTTGATTAAATCAAAATCTATTTTGTATGTGTTTGTGACTGGCCTAACGACAGATCTTATTAATAAAGTCGTTTTATTTTATTTTCGTAGTTACCGTAGACGATATGGTTCGGGAGTATTTACTGTTTATCTGATGATAGAATTTGTGTTGTTGATATGACGCTAAGAGTACAGAATATCTCAGATAACTGGATGTAAGTCGCAAGATGTTGGTTTTTAAGTAGATATACTATTAAATTCTTTTCAATTGTATTCTTTGCTGTACTACATCTTCTACGATCTAATGTATTATACTACATTCAACTGTACTTTATTTTACTACTATCTACTTTATTCTATTACATTATAATCAATTTAAATTAATTTTTCTTAACAAATGTACATTCTATTAATTTTTCCTAATGTCTAGCACATAGTACTTCATATAAAACTTAACTCCTCCATTCTATTTTCTTTATATATTCTCTACTTTATATTGTAATACCTTTATCCGCTCTAATCCATGAGTTGTGTGATGACGTATGTAGTGTTTGTGATGTGTGAAAAGTGATGTGTATGTGTGAACTGAGTTAATGGATGTGGATTGTGAGTGGTGTGGTGTGAAATGATGTTTGTGGGTTGTGCTATGTGAGACATTGAAATCGCGGGTTGTGTTTCATGATCTATTAGACAAACTACCTAACTTTGCTTACTTTTTTACTTTCTCGTATATACGAAGTATAGAGAAAGTATTGTAATCGTGCAAAAAAAAAAATCGAGATTTTTACAGATCTCGACGTTTTACACCTCACTGATACGTAAAAACATAATTTTGCAATCTTGTCCGTATGTCTGTGTGTCTGTGTGTCTGTGTGTCCGTGTGTAAACACGATAACTTGAGTACCGTTACAGCTAGGTTGATGAAATTTCATATATAAGTATTATATCAAAATCGTAGATCCGTATCAACTTTTGAGCGATTTCCGACAACCGGAAGTGGTACTTTTCCTACTTTGAATTTTTCAAAAGCCTATAACTTGAGTACTATTTCAGATAGACAAATGAAATTTCACATGTAAGTAAAAGATCTAATTCTCTACCTTCTGTTAAATTTTGAGTAATTTCCGTTGACTGGAAGTAGTAATTTACGCTACTTCCGATTTCTCAAAAAACTAATGTAAATTTTTAAAGTACTAATAATATTGCGCACTATTATACGCGTTTTTATTCGGCGTTCGCTTGGTGCGCAATGGTTTTTTTATGAGATTCTATTCTATTTTTAAAAAGTTAAGTATTTAAAATGGATTAAAAATCATAACTATATCCCCAGTTACCATCCCCTGTTGTTTTATATAAGAATATTCGAGAAAGTTTAGGGGAGATCACTACCGGTTTATTTACAATACATATTAGAATTTGAATGCCTAATTAATTGCTGATCGGTTGTTATGTAAATACTTACATTTAAACAGTAACTTCAACTTAGAAAAATGCAAACTTATTAGAACTATTAAGGCTTACTTTATAGTATAACTCAAAGATAATATTACATGAGCTGATCCGCGCCGTAAGCATACGCCACTATTTAGTTGTTTTATTTTCTATTTTTCAGCAATTCATATTTTGTGAATTAAACACTACCAAAGCTTCGACAGGAAATATTTTGCTTTAAAACATTATCAGTAGCTCGAGAAGGACATCATCCTCACCCTACCCCCTCGTCCCCACCTAGTTCTCACTCCTCTAGCCCCTCTCCCCCTCTGCTCTCACATCCCCCCCCCCAGAAAGAAGCTGTCTGTTAATTATATATATAGATTTTAAGTTTTGGAGTTAATTTCTACAACTTATTTAGGATGCATACTGTAACAGACAGTGCTTCTTGTATGATTTATTATATTGTAATTAGCATGAAGTTGTATGAAAGTTGTATGGAAGGACTGTGTAAGCGACTAGTCATTTTTTTCCATGCTTTTTGTGAGATCGCTCACTGACGTTAGGGGAGAGAATGAAGGATATAAAAGGGGAGCGTGAGGTGTGTGTCGGGGCCTATGCCTGTATAGAAGAATGTTGTAAGATGTCACCACGTCACCCTGTCTCTGGACTGTATTTTGATTGCTGTTATTTCAGTATGGATTTTCATTATTAATTCCTATGGATTTATTTTATTAATGGGAATACATTTTGTAAGTTGAAAGAACTCACAATAACACAGTATTGTCTCATCTACAAATACGCGTTGTTAGACATAACTTAAAGTACAACGAAATCTTTACTTAAATAAATACTTATTCGCATCAATAGGCGTTTTTGTACAACCTTACAAAATATTAAGGGGCGGGGGGTAGTTTGGCAAATTTTTTTTTCAATATATCGCCCAAATTAGCAGAATTTCACTCGAGGTTAATTTTTAGCCCTTGCCGTGGGAAGAAAGAATGAACAAAAGTTTTTCCATATAGCCCATTCATTTACCTAAATCAATGGCAAAAATGAGTCAGATCTACGTAGCCAAAGTTTCTAGACATTGATTTGTAAATAGTTATCATTTTCACCAAATGAACAATGTTTATATTGTTAATTTGCACTGGTCACTACTAAAGCCCTTCCGAAGTTTTCTCGAAGATAAAGTCTATTTTTAGTAACCCCGTGAGTATTTCTACGACCTCAGGACTAAGGAGTTATGAATGGGTTTGTACGTAAGGACTTTTGTATTTTATTTTATTTTTTTTACAAAATCAGTGCTATGTTTATATAAGGAAATATGGCCTCTGGTCAGTTGAACCGGTGTACCGGGGTTTTCCCCGATTGTAGCACTTTTTTTTCCTGACCCCCTGGGGACGATGTACAACCTCAAGAGTTTTTCAACGATTCTTACGTGTGATTTTGTTTTATGGCTCATATGAGGAGAATTTCAACCGCGGTCAAATTTTAGCCCTCGTCGTACTAGGAGAGGCAGTCCTAAAGTTCATGCATAAGGCCTATTCTTTTACCCAAGTCTCTGGAAAAAATGAGCCAGATTTACAGAGCCAAAGTACCCTAAAAAGGGTTTTCAAAATAGTCAAAAATTTTCACCAAATTAGGAATGATTATATAGGGAAAGTCGGGCCGGTCACTTCTAAAAGCCTTCTGGAGTTTTCTCGAAGATATCAGGGTTTTTTGTTACCCCCTCCCCAGGGTCGGTCTACGACCTCAAAAGTTATGATGGGGTTCCTGCATGAGAATTTTGTTTTATATATAGCTCATATAAAGCGCCAGCCAGTCGGGGTCAGTTTTGACCCCATCTTTGTAGACTTTGTTCGGTTCACGTATTCTGTCGACACGAGAAAATAGCCTGCTAAATTTGAAGCGCCTGCGGCGGAAATTATTTTTAATAATACACGTAAAATATATCCTTAAATCAAATAAAATGGCTCGATCATTTGGTTACACAATGCAGTGATTTGAAAATTTAAAAGTAGACAACATCTTCTGTTTTACTTTATTATGTGTATCGTTCTAAACCGACTTTGATCCTTTCCTTGGCGAGCTATTATTTTCAGCTTTACGTAGTAATGCACAATTTGTTTTAAAAATGTACAATAATTAATAACATGTAAATATATAGAAAGTACTTACAATTCCTTTTTGGGGTATAAATTACTATTTCAAGACCTCTAAATATTTTATAATCATTGATGTTTAATCTTTGCAGCAATGACTCTGCGACAGTCAGTACATCTTTTATGTTCAATGTGTATTTGTCATAGTGAAGCTGAACGCAATTCAATTTAACTGGCGCACAGAAAACAAAGCGTGACACTTCGTTTAACACATTGAACAGTTCTGAAAAAAAAGATGGTAAAATTAACGACCACGTCATTAAATAATTCTTTTTCACTTTAAAAAAATATGTTTTGTAAAACAAAAGAAAGCGGAAGTGAGCTCCTCTTAATTTTCTCGTATATTCCTATGAAGCAATAAGGTTCGGGATGACGTTTCCGGTGAAATTTTGCAGTAGATTAAATAAGGTAAGGCCATATTTTTCTTCAAGAAAACACACAAAGGCAAAACATTCTTACAATATGCACTTTAATGAGATATATAAAATACTAATACTTACCGGGTCTAACCTAATTGAAAATTATGTGTACATGTATATATATATTATATATATATATATATATATATATATATATATATATATATATATATATATATATATATATATATATATATATATATATATATATATATATATATATATATATATATATATATATATATATATATATATATATATATATATATATGTGTGTGTGTGTGTGTAATTATTTGGAAGCAAACGGAGATCTTATAATCTACAGCAAGAGTAGAATTGTTTTAAAATGTGTATTACATATAGGGCATTGTTCTGTTTTCATAGGGTGTATAAACATAAATGTATTCAAATAAGATTAAACAAATATAACTTACTAGGCATTTTGACTAGATTAATTTTGATGTTTGAAAAAAAATTGCCTGAAATCTTACCCTTTGCACAACCAATACAATATTACTGACAAT